CCCACACACACCACCACCACCACCACTCCTCCAACCGCCCCTCCCTCGCGCGGCCAGGCTTCCTCTCCCTTCTCGGCAACGCCCTCTCTCTCGTCCCGTGTGGCCGGCTCGACGGCGGCCGAGCAGCCACCGCCTGCTTCGGGCGGAGAGCGTCCGAGGCGAGGGGGCCTGACTGCTGCCGTCGTCGTGCTGTGAGCAGCGCCTCTTCACAGCTGCCGCGGGCTGTGAACACAGGCCATGGGCGTGCTCTCGGTCCTCGTCGTGCTGTCCGCCGTCGCGCTCAACGACGGCGCGCTCGGTCGCCCGCGCCCTGGGTTGATGGGTGAATGAGGCACTCATGGCATTGATGAACGCGTCAGGCGCGCCGGAGCTTCTCCTTCTCTGGGGCGGCGTCGTGCTGCTCCCGCAGCTGCTGCAGCAGGGCGAGGTGCCGTGCGCCGACGAGATCACGCCGCCGCCAGAGTCGCGCCGCCGCGCATTCCTCGCGCTTGTCGTCGTCGCCATCCTCTGCCTGTCGCCCGCGCCGCACGCCGAGCCCGCCCTCTCGCTGGACTCGTTCGCAGAGAGCTTTGGCGCGGCGGGCATTGCGTTGTGAGATCCTTGATTGTGTCCTGCCGGTGCCCTTTGAGCCGCGCCGCGAGGGTATTTTCCATATGCGGCGCGTCACGCGAACGGCGATTTTGCGTCAGACAATTCCGAGAGCGAGTACGTACGTATGTTATCACCGCGGTGTGTCACACCACACACACGCGGCAGACGAGCCGCGACGGTGGACGGAGCAGCACAAACGCACATCTTGTATCTGTCCAGCGCCTGTTCACATGCGACATGCCCGCATCACGGGGGTTCACAGCTCACCACACGTCACACACGGCACACACGCCCCCCGCAGCTCCACTAGCTCACCAGCACTCGCACGAGTGACAAGACACATCTCTCCACCTTTTCCCACCTGACCGTTGCCCGCCCCGTCGTCACACGGGCGTCTGCAACAGCATGCCAAACTCCTCGAGATCGAGGTCGCCCGTGTGACGGCGGTCGAGGAGCTCGTCAACGTCGAGGCAGATGCCAAAGTGCTCCTCGAGCTTCCGCTGCAGCGCCTCCTTGGAGAGCTTGCCGTTGGCGCCGCCAAGCAGGTCGAAGGTTTCCCGGAGGCGTTTCTGGGCAGAGTCCGGCTGCTCCGAGCGCAGCCGAGCGTACCAGTGGAGGAACTCGCGCAGGTCCACCCGCCCGTCGCCGTTGCCGCTCGGGCACTCCTCGATGGAGGCGATCATCTGCTTGACGTCTTGCTTCTGGATGGCGTGTCCCAGCGAGCGCAGGCCGTGCAACAGCTCGTCCTCGTCGATCGATCCTGACCCGTCCCGGTCAATGTCGAAGAAGACCGCCTTGCAGTGAGCGAGCTGGCCGTCTGACAACTTGCTGACGAGGCTCGGCTGCCAGTCGGTTTTCCACAGCGGCGCGGGCTCAGCCACCTCGGCCTCCCCGCGGCCCTTGGTGCGCCGCTTCCGGCTGCCGCGGGGAGTGGTGAGCGGCGACGCGAATGCGGCCGGCATGGGCCGGTAGCTCAGAGCCTCCGCTGATGAGTTCGTTTCACCTCCATACGTGTGTCTGACCGAGCTTATCGGAAGCGCTCCTCCGCAAGCCGTCGCCAAGTCGTAGTATAGCCATAGTTGAGGCGCATACCTGGGGCGCGTGCGGCGCGCTCTTGGCGAAGTCGATGGGCTCTCGTGACGTGCCTTCGCGTACATTACTGATGTGATGTCCGTCTCCCCCTACGTGTGTCTGGGACCGAGCTTATCGGAAGCGCTCCTCCGCAAGCCGTGGCCAAGCCGTAGTAGCTCTTTGTGTTGCGATGCTTCCTGGCGAGAGAGTGCTGGGCTTTCCGGCCCACACTCGGCTCTTGAGGCATTTATCGGCATCTTAATATGCCGTAGGGACACACAGCAAGGAGTAGTGTCTACGCGCGCACACGCCCGAGTGCCAATTTGGCTACGGGTTAGGGTTGCGTTGTCCTAACGCCTCCGTCCGTCCTGGACGGGCGTTGGCGCGTGCATATCCCACCGCTAGCTAGCGACACTACTGCTAATGCTGGCCTCGTCCCCTCAAGTCGAGCAGCTTGGCCTTGCCATACGGTTCGACTGCTCAGACATTGGAGGAGATAAGGGGATGGTGGTGGGTAGAAGAATGCGGAACGAGCAGCCAAAAGCAGTCGCGCGAGTCAGAGTCGGGCACGAGACGTCGAGCATTGAAACCATCCGTAAAGGTTTCGTGCGACCGTCCCCAGTACAGGATTCCCCTGTACAGGGTGTGAACATCGTGCACTCGATGGTTTTCCCCGGCCCATGCCGGGTACTCTCCAGTCGAATCTTGTCCATCAACTCGCTCGAGATCGCCCGAGATCGCCCGAGATCGCGATCTCGCCTCGAGGTGAAGGGAGAGTAGGTGGCGGCGGCGCTGCCATCGCGCCCCACGCCTCGCCAGAGCCTCGAGATGAAGGGAAGGACATGAACCAACTCTTGGCCTACGTTCAGAAGAAGCACCTTCGCGAAATGAACGAAGCTGCGCTGATGCATCGCCGCCTCATGATCGGGGCTGGGCTGGTGATACTCACCCTCTTCGCAATCCTTGGCGCCATCGTGGTGTCTCGCTAGTACTTGTGTGCTCACACCACTGTGGGTGGTGCCCGAGCATGATGTATGTGCGCGTCTGTGCGTGTGTGGGACAAACGTTGTTGTCCTCTGCGCGGGGCTTCCTGCGGGGACCGAAGACGTACCGTGTCGCTTTTTCTTCAATTTCATGCCGGTGGGTTGCGTGCGACCATACCATACCCCGCAAGAAGTCCGAACCCAGCACGCGTGCGCATGAATTCGCAGCAAACGGGTGTACGCCTCGGCGATCATGTACATGCAGGCAACCAGTGCAGGGCCGCGGCTCCGGCGGCTGGCATTCGGGAGCGGCGCCGCTCTCCTCCTCCTGCTCCTCGTCGCCAGCGTAACATCCTCCTCCTCCCGGCGGCCGCATTCAATGTTCTTTGGCCTCAGCAGCAGCTTCTGCAGCGCCACGCCCAGCAAAGTCTCCAGCCCCCTCCGGTGGGCAGAGCCCAGCACTGCGAATGACCGCGCCGCAACCGCGGATCGAATCTGCTGCAGAAACCACGACTATGCCGAGTGGTCCGGGAGCTGGACGGCGAGCAGCTTCCCGAAGCGCCTCGCGGCCGGCGAGACCATCACCTTTTACGACGTGGCCTCGCATCTGCCTCTATATCGCGCTCCGATCGGCCGCACCTTTGACGAATTTTTCGAGGAGTCGAAGGCGCACGGCTGGCCTTCGTTCCGCGACCAGGAGGTCATCTGGGAGAACGTAGTGGTCAAATCTGGTGGGGAGGTGGTGAGCGGGAACGGGACGCACCTTGGCCACAACCTGCCGGATCGCAAAGGCAATCGGCATTGCATCAACCTGGTCTGCGTTTCCGGCCCTCCGCCAACGTGAGCGACTGCTTGCAAAACGCGTGGCGGTGCAATAGGTGTATTGTGGCAGTGAGCCAGGCCGTGGGCCGTGTGAGTGAGCTCGCAGAGTCTGTGTACGTATTTGACAAGTTTAATTGCTGAGAACTTTTGGTTTGTGAGAGCTCAAACCCGTCACTCTCTCCGAACCGATCCCAGGACTTCAAAAGACACCAGACAAAACGCGTACACGGCGAGGACGGAGGAGCCAGGACCCAGAACCCACGCGCCTTCATCCCCCTGCCCACTGTAGAGCCGTAAGTACCGAGTATACGCGGCCTGACAAGCTGTGCCCGAGAGCGTGTTCACGTACCCTCCGCTAGCTGCCGCGAGTCGACTACGACCCGCTACAACGCGCTGGTATGCAGGACCCGCCGGCGCTGGAACAGGGCGCCCGAGGCCGCGTCGCTCGCAAGCTGGGCGCTAAAGGACGGCCGCGTGGCGCGCGTCGCCGCCGGGGCGGGTGCCGGCGCCGCCTTGCCCCCGACGCCCTCCTGCTGCGCCGCCGCCTCCGCGCGTCTCGCCATCCGCAGCTGCATCTCCAGCATCACATTCGCCTGCGTGCCCCCCGCGGGAGGAGCGGGCGGACCGCTCGGGCGAGCGGCCGGGGCCGCGCCAGCGCCGGGCGCGCCTTTAGCCATGCGCTGCTTGCGGGCCCTCTCGCCGTCGTCGCGCGCGTTGTCTGCGTGGGCCGCCTTGAGAGCGCGCACCACTCCGGCAATCGGGCCGAGCAGCTCTGCCGGGCTCGACGCGGGCTTCTCGCCCAGCCAGGCGGCGAGCGCCTGGGGGTTTAGGGTCAGGGCCAGGGCCAGGGATTAGGGTCAGGCGAGGCTTAGCTTCTCGTCTAGCCAGCCGGGCGAGCGCCTTGACGCGCCCTTCCGCCGCGGCGAAGTTGCCACGCAGCTCCTCGAGCGGCCCATCGACCTATGCAAACGGCGAGAGGCGTGAGGCGTCGCCCCGCACGCCACGCAGCCCTCGCTCGCAGCCCCCCCGCCTCCGCGGCGAACGCGCCCATCTGCCGCGCAAACGCGCCCTCGCCGGCCTTTGCAGACTGCACCGTGCGCATGGCGGCGCCCAGCTTGGCCAGCTCGGCGCGCATCTCTCCAAGGTCGGCGTCCTTGGCGCCCTCCAGCTGGGAGAGCTGCTCGTCGAGCGCGGCCACCGACTCGGCGGCGGGCGCCTTCTCGAGGCGGCGGCAGAGGTAGTGCAGCAGCGTCGTCTGCGAGTCGGCGGACTTGACCTGCACCAGCTTGGCCAGGTCGGCGAGCTTGAAGCCGTAGGCGCCGCCGCGCGCCGACTGGCCGTTGAGGTAGTTTCCGACGCAGAGCACTCGCTGCAGGAAGGAGCGGAGGCCCTGCGATGAGAAGACCTGCAGCGAGGGCTCGGCGAGGGCTCGGAGGAGGCTCGTGGGCGGGGAGCGGGCGGCCCCACACGCAAGAGAGACCTGCTCGATGGCCTCGGCGAGCATCGCAACCTCCTCCCCCATCGCCGCGACCGCGGGACCGAGCGTGAGCGTCGCCTGACGGGCAGGGCCAAGTGTGTTCGCCCGTGGCGCGCCGCCCCTCCACACCGCTGCCCGCGTGAGTCTGTGGCCGCCTGCAGGCAGTTGAGCCGCAGGCCGAGCCGGTCGACCTCGCCGAGGCAGAGAAAGAGCTGCTCGACGCGGCCGAGCGACTCGCGCTCCCCCGAGAACTCGCGCACCGTCTCGAGCTCCTCCGCGGTGGGCATCGCCGACAGGAGCGCCGACACCTGCTCCAGCGAGAGCGGCGGCCCGTCGCACACGCGCGCCTTGATCTCGCCGTCCGGCAGCCGGAGCCTCGCCATGGCGATGGCGACGTTGTTGGAGCGCTTGACGTCGATGAGCGCGATGTTCTTCTCGGCCTTGCCCTTGGCCGACGCCGGCGCGCCCTTGCTCTCCTTCTTGGCCGCGGCGGGAGGCGCGATCCCAAAGACCTCTTCCACCTCCGCCGGGTCGAGGTCCGCCTAAGAATAGATCCAGACCTACTGACGGGCGAATCGAGAGCGACCACCCCTCCGCCGGCCCTTTCCGCCTTGGAGTCGTCGATCTCTTCGAGCCACACCGTGCCGGCCAGCCGCGCGTCGGGGATCTTGGACCAGTGGAGCGGCCTCAGGGGGAGGGCGGGGGTCCGCTTCGCCTTTGGCGGGACGAGCGGCCGCGCCAGGCTCGGAGGCACGGGTGGCGGAGGGGGGGCGCCCGGAGTCGACGGCGGCGGAGGGGCAGGAGGAGGAGGAGGGGCGCCACCGGCGATCGGCGGCGGCAAGGGGGCGCCGCCGAGGGGCGGCGGAGCGAGGGGCGGCGGAGCGAGCGGCGGCGGAGCGAGCGGCGGTGGCGCCAGAGGCGGCGGAGCGAGCGGCGGCGGAGCGAGCGGCGGTGGCGCCAGAGGCGGCGGTGCGAGCGGCGGCGGAGGAGCGAGGGGCGGTGGCGCGAGAGGAGGTGGCGTGGCCGGTGGCGGCGCAGCAGGCGGCGGCGGCGTCCTCTTGAGCGCTTCGAGCTCGGCCTCGGCACGAGCGAGGGCTTCCCTCAGCTGAGCGATCGATGCGTCCCTCTCCTTGAGGCTCTCTCCGAGGGCCTCGCCCGCATCGCTCGCATCGCCGGTCGCCTCTCCGGAGGCGGCGGCGGCGCCTCGGACCACCTTCTCTGACGCCGCTGCCGCTTCCGCGGCGGCCTGCACGGCGCGAGCCTTCTCCAGGGACTCTGCCGCCTCGCTCCTGGCCGCAGCCTCCTTCGCCTCTGCCGCTTCCGCCGCGCCTTGCGCTGCGGCAGCCTGCTCTTTTGCCTTTGCGGCCTCGCGGCGCCAGCGCTCCACCTCGGCCTCAAGCGCTCGCACCGCCTCGTAGTGCGCAGCCGCGGTCTCGTCCGCCGATGCGTCTTCCTGCGTGCCGCGCGAGGGCGGCGGCGGCCCACCCGGCGGCGGCGGCGGCTTCCCTCGCGGTGGCGGCGGCTTCCCTCGCGGCGGCGGTGGCGGCCGCGCCGGAGCCGGTGCGTCGCGGCTGCAGCCTTGGTCGCCCGCTGTCTTTAGCTCGGTGGAGTCCTCAGCCATCTCTCGGTCGAAGATTCGGACTTGCGTGTCGAGCTCGTCGCCGCGGCCAGAGAGGAGCCGGCGCGACGCCTCGAGGAAGCCCGCGGCCGCGAGCTCGCCGCGCAGCTCAACGCGGTCGCTGATGGACGCGCGGCCCGACACGAGGGCGTTGAGCAGCTGCAGCAGCCAACGTTGCGCGAGCCGCCGGGGCGGCGCCAATGCCTCGACAATCGGCTGGAAGCGCGCGCCCGCTGCGTCGGTGTCGGAACAGCCGTGCAGAAGGGCGAGCTGCTCGAGCGCGGAAAGGACGCTCCTCGCTCCCGCCTCCGAGTAGAGCGCCACCGCGCAGAGCACCTCGCTCGCAGCCCGCAGCAGCGGCTCGCGACCCGGAGCATCGCAGAGCAGCAAGGAGCCGCCGCCACCGGCAAAAGAGGAGCAGACCGCAGGGTGGGAGGCAACCGCGGCGAGTCCGGCCTCGGCATCCGCCAGCACGGCAACGCACCGGATGGCCACGTCGAGCGTGGCCCAGTCCGCCTCAGGCCGCTCTGCGCGCGAGCAAAGGGAGCGAAGGAGCGCGGAGAGGGCGTCGAGTCCTCCACAGGCCACGAACTCGGCCGACCACACGCCCGAGCTGGCCAGCCTGGCGAGGCACTCCTGCACAGCCTCGAGCGAGCTCGCCTCTTCGCTGCGAAGCCGGGCGACGAGGTCGCGAGGGCGGAGGCTCGACGCGTTAGCTGCCGTTGACAGACACTCTCGCTTCTTGCTCGCCGGCCACGCCTCCATCTCTCCCAGCCGTGCGGCGGGAAGCGATAGCCCCGAAAGGAGCACGGTGAAGGCGCTCCTGACCGCCTCGTCGTCCACCGCCTCGAATGCCGCATCGATTGCTTGCTCCGCCCGGATGGCCTCCTCCGCCGCGCCGTGGCCCTTTGAGTTTCTGCTGCTCTTGCCGCCGCCAAACAGGCCACTGATGGCGTTCCGAGTCGAAGACGCCGTGTCGCCGATGGCGGCCCACGTCGAGGACGCCGCGCCGACGGGAGCCGCCCGCGGTGCCGAGGCTTGTCCACGAAGGGCGGCCGTGGAGACGGCGCCCAGCCACTTCTCTCGGTCGCGGGAGGTGCGGACGCAGTAGGTCTTTCTTGCGGTCGTTGTCTGGATGGTAAAGTACCATGGGTCGTGCACAGGAGGCCGGGCACGGGCAGGCGGGTCGGACTCCGCCGCAGACAGCACCGTCTTGGCGCCATCGCGCATGAGGAGCTTTCGCTGCGCATCCGAAGGGCTCTCGTAGTAGCAGAGCTCGCAGCCTCGCAGGACGGCGTAGATCTTCTTCCAACCGCCGCCCTTCTCCTTGAGCTTGAAGAGGTAGCCGGCCTGCGGAGCGCGGTACTGCTCGGAAAGAGGCGGCATTTTTGGTGGAGTTTGGTCGGGACGACCGAACCAGCTGAAGCCTGTCCGAAAAAAAAAACGGGAAGTCCGAGCATGTCGATTGTGCCGAGGAATGGGAGATAGGTGACTGTATCGGCACCCTGAAGATCTTCTACCGCGAGCGGAGCCACCTCCAGCTCTTGTCGCTGATCCCGCCCGACAGGCCGGCTGCCACCTCCGCCGCCGCCACCACCTCCGCCGCCGCCGCTTCGTCTCGCTCCAAGCGGCCTCGGCCTGGTTCGAAGGCCGACGATCCAATCAACCTCAGCTAATCCACACAGTCCGTCGCGCGCCTACCCTTGAAGCTGCGAGCCTAGGGCGGAGGAGCGGACGGCGGAGCGCAGCCTCGGCTGCGCACGCGTTTTGCCCCTCTGCAGCACGGCGTATCTATTTTGAAACTATACAGTAACACAACATTCGAAATCGCGCGAGCGACGTCTGACGACGTCTGTAGTAGACACGGTACGGCTTTATCGTCGCCGAGACGTCGGGACGTCGCGCCGTGAGCGAGACTTGACCACATGAGACTTGGCGGGTCGGCGACGGCGTGTGAAATGGTAGGAATCGGTTGGATCCGCGTGCGGGGGCCGGGGACCACTATAAAGACCGGACCCCGCTCGCCACTCTACACTCCGACTCCTGTCAGGTCGCCGCATCTAACCAACCGCGCCGCTCCCCCTCTGCCCCCTGGGTCTGGAGCCTCCGCCGCGCCGCTCCCGTCGCGTCACGACCACAGCTCCTTGACAAGCCTGCCCTCGCCCTCCATCCGAGACACGAAGGCGGCAGCCTCCGCCTCGCTCAGCTTGCCGTGCTCGACGGCGGTGCGCTGGAGCGCCAGCACAACCTCCCTCCCCATGGCGGTGCCGCCGCAGATGTAGAGGTGGCCGCCGCGGCAGCCCAGCAGCGACCACACCTCCCTCCCGTCCTCGCGCAGCAAGTCCTGCACGTACACCTACCGCACGCTCTCACGGACGAGTCCTGGACGCATCCCGTCCTCGCGCTGCAATTTGTCGCAGCGCCCACACCTTGCGCGCTCCATCGCGCGAAAAGGCGCAGCGCAGCGTGCCGAGCAGCTTGCCCTCGAGGGCGGCGGCCAGCTCGTCCTCGTACAGGTAGTCGCCCCGCGCGTGCCGGCAGCCAAAGTAGAGCCGCGTCGGCCCCGTCCGGCCGCGCCCCTCTGCCGCAGCCACGCGCATCTCCTGCAGGGCGGCGCGGATCCACAGAGTCAACGAGTGGCCACGCTCATTGCTACGGTCGGAGGGGTGCCGCAATCTCCTGCAGGAAGGCGCGGAACGGGGCGATGCCGGTGCCGGGACCAACCATCACCACCGGCGTGGCGCCGTCGCAAGGCAAGCGGAACGAGGAGCGGCGCACAAACGCGACGACGGACCGGCCGGCGGCCGCCGCCTCGAGCTGCGTGCTGCAGACTCCGAGCTTGGTGCGGTGCGGAGCGTCCCTGAACGGCTCGCGCAGCACCTGGCCTCGGGGCGACCTCGGGTGAACCTCGGGCGATCTCGGGCGATCTCGGGTGACCTCTGCTGATCTCGGGGCGACCTCGGGCGATCTCGGGTGATCTCCGGTGATCTCGGGTGATCTCGGCACCTTGACGGTCAAATGCAGCGTCGTGCGGTCGAGCGACGGCGAGGAGGAGATGGTGTAGTAGCGCGGCGCGAGGCGGGGCAAGAGCTCGAGCAAGCCTAATGGACGACGGGCGGTGACTCACAGCCTCGCACCGTCCACGAGGCGGGGCGCGAGCTCGAGCAAGCCTCCGAGCGGCGGAGAGAGGGAGGGCATCTCCTGCAGCAGCTCCGCGGCGCCCCGGCCCGCCGCGACGACGTGCGCGGCGTACTCCTCCTTGCCCGCCCGCGAGGAGAGGTGCCTTCATCCACAACGCGGCAGCAAAGTCAGGTCCCTCGCCCGCCCCGGCCCGCCCTTGCCCGCGCCCGCGAGGGAGGAGGAGGCGCCTCAGCCGCGCCGCCTCGGCAGGGTCGGCTGCGTGCGCCGCCAGGAAGCGGAGCAGTGGCTTGGACGCGGCCGCGCGCAAGTCTGCGACCCAGCGCAGCGCCTGCCCGACCGCGCACGGGGTCGGGAGGATCGGGTTAGGGCTAGGGCTGCGGGTCTGGGGTGGCTAGGGTTAGCAGCGCCTGCCCGACCGTGCACGGGGTCGGCAGCGGCGGCGGCGGCGCGTCCGACCCGGCGGAGGGGTGGGCGAGGCGGAGGCGGAAGGTGGAGAGCGGGTCGAGGCCGAGCCGCGCGGCGGTGGCGGCGGCGAGGGCGGCGCCTGGGGTAAGGGGTCAGGGTCAGGGCCAGGGTCAGGGTCAGGGTCAGGGTCAGGGTCAGGGTCAGGGTCAGGGTCAGGGTCAGGGTCAGGGTCAGGGTCAGGGTCAGGGTCAGGGTCAGGGTCAGGGTCAGGGTCAGGGTCAGGGTCAGGGTCAGGGATAGGGATAGGGTCAGGGTTGGGATCTGGGTCCGGGTCCGGGTCTCGGGTGGAGGCGGCGAGAGCGGCGCCGTTGTCGCAGAGGACAGCGAGGTCGTCGGCGCACTCGTACCTCAGCCAGGTGACTCCGCGCCCGTCGCCTGCAGGGACATGTCCACGATACGTCCGGGACATGCCCGCACCTCCGCCGGGTGACTCCGCGCCCGTCGCCCGCGGAGAGCGAGATGTGGCGGACCGACCCGCAGGACGCGTCCCGGCAGAGCTCGCGGTTCTCGCAGACCTGCGGGACGTGCCACGGACATGTCATGTCATCGACATTCACGGACCTGATGTCATGGTGAGAGCGTCAAAAGTCAGGCCTGGCCCGCCGCCAGGCGCTGCTTCGGAAAGACGGCTCCGAGCCAGGCGAGGGGAGGCGCGTCGGAGCCAGGCTCGGAAACGCCGCCCGCCGCCGCCGCCGCCGACGCCGCCGCCGCCGACGGCGCCGCCGCCGCCACGACGGCGACGTAGCTCGGCGCGGGCGCCTCCTCCGCCGCCTCCTCCTGGCCGTCTGCCTGGTCGGACCCGCCGCAGAGGGCCACCCACAGGGAGGCGCGCCACGACTCAAAGTCAGCGTCGATGTCGCCGTCGTCGTCTCCCAGCCCGAGCGGCGCCAGCCTGCAGGAAGGGTCCAGGAAGGGTCCGGGAGAGGGCCTAGTCGCGCAGTCGGCGAGACACAGGCGGAGCGGTGTGCCGTCTCGCTCCGAGGGCGGAGAGGCGCGCGTCCACCCACTTGCCCATCGAGTTGTAGTGCTCGTACTGCGTGTTGCCTACCTCTCCACGTGCCGGTGTGAGCTGACCCGCCCGCCATCGCCTCACTCCTCTTGCCACTGGTCGCCGAGCCCAAACGCTGCATACTGCAGCGCCGCGAGGCAGCCGGGCTCGCGCGACGCGTCGCTGGCCCAGCGGTGGAAGGCGACCGTGTTGTCGGTCGGGTCTCCCTCGCCGTGTGTCGCCAGCAAGAAGACGCAGGGCCCCTCCACGCCGCCCAGCTCCTCTGGCGGGAGCTCCTCGAGGTCGAGCGCCCGTGCGGCGTACCCCCGCACACGCGCCTCGCGCATCAGCGTGGTCGCGAAGCCCTCAGCCGTGCCCGTCTGCGAGCCGAACAGGATCGTCATCGGCCCGCGACCCGCCGCTTTCGCGCCGACGGCTCGGACGGGCGCCGACGGCTCTTCTCGAGGCGGAGGAGGAGCGCGCCGGCCGCGCTTCCAGCGAAGCAGCAGCCAACTGGCGAGAAGCACAACAATCGTGGCGAGGCCGGACGAAAGGTCGAGAGCCGGCGAGGGGTTTGGCATGTGAAGTGCCGGCGCGGGCCGCAGCGTAGGGGTCGCGGCACGAAAAAAAAGCCAACTCACAAAGGCGGATACAAAACAAGTAAGGCGAACTATCACATGAAAAAAAGGGTTCCGGGAAATTTCCGGTGGCGCCGCTCTTCGCGCCTCCAACGCGGCCGAAGGAGATCCATTTCCCTCGTGAGGCTCTTCGCGCGTCTGGCCGAGATGACGCTCCTCGGCCGTCGGCTGCTCCACCCCTTGCGCCGCTCCGCCGGCATGTCCTCGTCCTCCGCGCTCGCCGCAGAGGCGGCTCCGCCCTCGGCGCTGCGCTGGGCCGTGCTGCCGTGGAGCTTCTTCATCGGCGAGAATGTGCTCCTCTCGCACAACCGCGCCTCCATCATCGCGCTGTGCGGCGGCGATGAGCAGTCCTACCACGCCCTCTACAACGCCCTCTCCACCGCGGCCTGCGCCTCGCTCGGATTCGGCTACTTCTTCCGCGTCGCTGGTGCGCCTCCGCTGCGGCACGTCTCCGTGGCGGCGGTCGGCGGCAGCTTCGTCCTCCAGGCGGTCGGTCTCGCAGGCCTCTTCCAGGCGCTCCCCCGCGTGCAGCTTCCCCTGGCGAGCGAGCCGGCCCACGGCGAGCGCGCGGAGCCGGCGGCGGCGAGCAAAGCCGGCGCTGCCGCCCGGCAGTGGGTGATCCGCTGCCCGATGGACTTCAAGGGCGAGTCGGCCTCGCCAGCGGTGACGAGCCCGGACGGGCTGCACGGGCTGCACCGCGTCTCGCGGCACCCGATGCTCTGGTCGCTCGCCGCTGTTGGGCTCGGTGCGGCTCGCTCCTCTCCTCTTGTCGCCGGCCGGAGCCGGGCACCCACCGCGCCCCTCCTTCCCTTCCCCCCTCCCCCGCAGGCGGCGCGCTGGCCGTCCCCTCGGCGCCGCAGGCAGTGTGGCTGCTCGGCCCTGCCGCGATGGCGCTGCTCGGCGGAGCGCACATCGACTACCGCCACCGCCGCGGCGAGGGAGGCACGCTGAGCGCAGAGACGGAGCGCGTCACCTCGCTCCTCCCATTCGCTGCGATGGCGGCGGGCGCGCAGGCCGAGGGGGCGCTGGGCTCGCTGCAGGCGCTGGCACGCGAGCTCAAGGTCGAGAATGCCGTCCTGGGCGTGCTGCTGGCGGCGAGGTGGGCGATGACAAGGGGGAGGTAAAGCCGTAGGCAGTGGCAGAGGCAGCGCCGG